TCTGATGCTGCGTCGTGTTCGCTGGTGCTCCGCTCCTCCCGAAGACGCCTGAACTCCTGCCAAACACAAAAGAATCAATGCAGAGTCACTCAGAAGACGAGCGGATGAAAGCGGTCGGGCTCAGACCTTCAGGACGCTGTAGTTTGAGGTTCTGGCCACGTAACTCTTCCAGGCGTCTGCTGCGATCTCTCGCTGCTTATGAGTGAAGCGGATCTGGAACACAGTCACAGCGGTCAGTCGGTCGCTGCGGTCTCGTACAGAACGTACAGCCGCTGGGACGCTTTACCTCTGAATACAGCCGCTGCTCCTCCTGCAGCTCCTGCTGCTGCCGCTGGCCCAGAATGCTTTGCTGCAGCGAGCGCACGCTCTCGGCCATGGCTTCACTGACCTGCAGCACACTCTTCAGCGCCGCTTCATCCGACGGAACGACCGCCGCTGCCTCACTCCACAGCTCCTGCACAACCTCACACAGCTGTGAGGAACACCGATTCGCTTCAGAAACACGCTTTGTTCTGCTGGATAAAAGCCTCTTCACATCCTAATCGCAAGCACTACGTTACGTGCTCAAAATGTTTTTATTAGTGCTGTCAAAATTAGTGCGTTAAAGAAGTAGTTCACTTCCAGAACAAAAATTTACAGATAATGGACTCACCCCCTCATCCAAGATGTTCATGTCTTTCTTTCTTCAGTCGTAAAGAAATTATGTTTTTTGAGCAAAACATTTCAGGATTTCTCTCCATATAATGGACTTCTATGGTGCCCCTGAGCTTGAACTTCCAGAATGCAGTTTAAATGCAGCTTCAAAGAGCTCTAAACGATCCCAGCCGAGGAAGAAGGGTCTTATCTAGCGAAACGATCGGTTATTTTCTAAAAAATTTACAATTTATATACTTTTTAACCTCGAACGCACGTCTTGTCTAGCTCTGCGTGAACTCTGTGCATTCCGGTTCATGACAGTTAGGGTATGTCGAAAACCTCCCATCTCAACTTCTAAATCGTCCTACATCGCTGCAGAAGCACCGACACAGTGTTTACAAAGTGAACATGCAAAGAAGATCAAATGCCCTTTACAAAAAAACGGCAAAACAGCGATGTAGGATGATTTAGGACGACACATAATATCCACGTTCTGATTGGTCAGATCGCCTGTCAATCAAGCTCCCTGTGAACGGTCTATTGACAGTTTTCACGTGACGTCACAACCGCATTTATTATAATGGGTTTATGTGAGGATTGTTTTAAGTTCACTTAAATTAGAATTTGTTATTTTTTTAAATCTAATAAATGTTAAAATAGCTCTCAATTATACTGTAACATTAGTATAGTCAACATTACATATAGTCAATGGTTAAAACAGGCAAGCAGATGAAGCCAGAATATAAACGCAATGTGCAAAGTTTCCCATAGAAAACCATTAGAAGGAAAACACTGGACCATTAAGCGCATTGCGTTCATATTCCGGCCTCATCTGCTTGCCTATGTAAACTATGCATCATTAATATAGAGAATATTACTGTTTTAAATATATTAAGGCAATTTAAGTGTTTTTACAACGTTTTGTCGCACTGTTTAATGATTGAAATATTGCCGTGGATGCTTAATATGGATGGCAATTGGCCAAAACTTGCATTTTGTTCACATACCTTTGTTTTATTCTTTTGAGAGGTGATCTAAATATTTGCGGCTGTGAAACAGATGGAAAATTGACAGGCTTGTCCGCTGTAACCTGTATCATTTCATATTAAAGCGTGAATGAAACTACGAGCATGCGTTAGATCCGCGTCACGTTCAGCAGCGGCAGCTCTTAAAGTAATAGCACCCAAATAACTTAATAACCAGCTGCTGTGATGACTGTTCATCAAAGAACAAAAGACAACAGAGGAAATCAATAACTTTTGTAGCTTTAAGGATTCATCTATATTTCATCTAGAATTCAGTGTTTTATAACTTTATTCTATTTCTGCATATCTCATACTCGCTGAAGGACACAGGTAGCTAAATATGACATTTATTATAATGGGTTTATGTGAAGATTGTTTTAAGTTCACTTAAATTAGAAGTTGTTTTTTTTTTTTTTATCTAATAAATGTTAAAATAGCTCTCAATTATACTGTAACATTAGTATAGTCAACATTACATATAGTCAATGGTTAAATATAAGGAAAAAAGAACAATTTCCTAGAGACACACACACACACACTCCCACTCTCACACTCCCACACACACACACACACTCACACACACATACTCCCACTC